TAGGCTTGCGTTTACTATTTGTCTTTGTCTTTTATCCTTGTTATTTTCGTTTTAGGAAAACTATGGCCTTCCTGATGCAACTGCTGTTGCTGCCGTGAAGGAGGTATTCGTTGAACTCGACCTTTCTGCAGTCTACGCTGACTTCGAAACAACTATTCGGACCGAGATTTTGGACTTGATTGCCCGTTCATCTTCGCCCGGAAACCTCCCTGGTGACTTCTTTCGGTCTGTGTTGGATCTTCTACATCGCAGATCTAAGTAGTGTCTGTACCATGCAACACTCAGGATTATGCACCGCAAATGTTTACCAATCTATGTGATATTGACAGCTTTGGTCGTTAATTGGACTGTTTATAAGCATCCTGTACACATTTGGCAAACTTTACGGACGAAACTTGGAACATGTCGCTTCGGGAACCAGTCCTGAAGGGTTCGACTCTGATCTTGGCCGTCTCTGCCTGTATCTATATCCCGGTCCTTAGAGAAGTTCGAATAAAGACTTTCTACCCTGACAGTTTATCCTCGAATCATTTTTTGGGGTTGTCAGTCGCGATTTTTAGATGTTGACAGTTTATAAACAGTTTGCTTCCTGATGAAATGGACCCGACAAAGCAAAGGGAGACCGGAATTGCCATTTCTGGCTTGTTAGCCGTTATCAACCAGTCATACCCAATCTCAAGAGTTGCAACCCCCGAGATTTGAATCCGGGACCTTTGGTCATTGAGTTCACTACTCTACCACGGCGCCACGGGCTCCTTGCTTTGTCGGTTGAGATCGGGAGTTTGCTTACTTTGCCAATACAAGCGAACATCCGTGTCCCAGGAGGCAATTGAGATCGAGTCTTCTTCTTCTCAGTTTGCTTACTGTTCACAATGCAAGCACTCTTCAGCGGCCAAGCAGTTACTATTTATTGTTTTTTGCCGTTTTTTCATGGTTGCTGAATATTTTTTTAGATTATTTCATCCCCCGAGGCGAATGGTTTAGCATACTCCGCTCTAATCTAAGCATTGACCTGAATCGAGTTTATTTTTATTAAGTAATATGAAATTAAGAGGTTTAAGTGGGTGGATCCTCCGGTTACTGCATGTTAAAATATGGATGACCATTCAATCGCAAAACAAGTAGCGCGATGTCAGGCAGTACTTGCTATACTACTGAAGGCTGTGCACTTGGATAGTGATTGAACACTATTCGACATCAGCTCACTCCGAAAGCCCATGCCTAAAATGCTTGCCATTGCGTACGGTGCATTCTGCTGCGTGAACTTCGTGTTAGTAACAGTGGCTGGCTTACGGCTCCGAATCTCCTCAAACCCGTGAAACGTCGCCTCGGCCGTTGTTTTCCACCTCAAATGCAATTACAAGCCTGCAAATTAGAGGGAGAAATTTACAGAGGACACGGGTCCAGAGTTTTGTTGTTCGGGGAAGTCTGTAGATTGCCGTGTGTCCATTCCCGTTGGAGAATGTTAGTCAATCATTTTTAGACGTCAAATGTCTTTCTACTTTAAAATACCTAGTAGGCTGTATATTCTTATTTCGCCAGTGCCTGACGTGCGAAAACTAAAGTGGGCGTGCCTCACATTAATGTAGCAGCAAGGACGGGGACTAGTGTGTGAATTAGCTTCTAGTGATAGTGTATCTGCGCAACACCTATCCCACTCCTCCCTCATCCACTTTGAGCTCGGAGGAGGGATCAGATACAGTGA